ATGAAAAGCATGAACCTCTGGCCACCACCTCTCTATAAGTGCCGTGATCAAGATTAATACGGCCTAAATGTGCAACACCGTAAAACCCTGCAGCCCTCACATATTCAACCATTCGTGGCTCTCGAGGTTCGGTAGTAAATATCTGGCTATCACACTTTGATATTCTTAATCGAGCATCGTATTTTTCATCCTTCCATATTGACTGAGATCGATGTTTTAGTTGACATACAAGAACTGATGAGTCAATTGGTCCGGGATGAAATAGTGGTGGATCCATAACTGTAATGCACAATAATATATTAGTAAATAACTAAATTGCACTTTAACAGTTGAAATTAAATCAATTCAACTTCTTAAATGAAATTACAAACGTTGTCTGTGTGTGTATATACAACTTTTTTACATAAACGTTTGTTGTTTTTTCTAATATACATAAACATATATATTTTATTATTGTTTACTGATTTGTTTGTCACTATCCATATTTAATTATCAGCCTATACTAATTAAATAAATATTATTATCAAGTAAATTAAAGAATAAGATAATATTTACGCAATTAGAATAGTTTATTACTATTTATTCATTTCAATTTTCATTTAATTTATTATAAAATGTTTATATTAATTATATTTATAATTTATTATTTTTAACTCCATATAGAATTTTTTTTTTTTGTAATTATTTAAATAATAGCATATATTCAATATAAGAAGTACATAAATATTAAGTTGGTGTAGTTTGAAATTGTGTCTATTATCGTGTTACCGTATTAATCACACAAGGCTGTCACTGCACCAACTAGCCGCCGTTGCCGATCTCCGCTCCGCCGGTCAAATCACGTACTCCTCTGCCGCTAATCTACGGCGGTGAAACCACTCCGCTGCCAGTCAAACACATCCGCTGGGTGGAGTGGAATGAATAGGAGCTGTGTGTTTTGAAAATGGAGAGGAGAAATAGGAGAGAAAGCTGTGTTCTAAAATGGAGAGGAGAGACAAGCTAAGCTATAAGGTGTGAAGGTTGCGGCGAAGAGGGAAACATAGGATATAATAAGATAAGAGAAGAGAGGGAAAGTTAGGGTTAGGCCATTAAAAGGTACTCCCCGTTTCTGACAAGAAGCAGATTGAAAACAGTAACGAGATCAGAATGCCTTTTTTCGCAACTTTTCAAAATGTTCACAAAATTGTAAACATTTTTCTTCTTCACATTTCGAGAAAAGCGCCGCGCCCGTTGAATGTTCCCAACATATCTTAAGTTGCCGGCCGGCTGCATTCCATTGGTTGTTACTGTTTCCTCGTACACATTACACATACATGTTCCTTCCATGCATGATTTCAACTATGATCGATCGATCGATCTTGTTTCCTTGATTACTACTAACTAAACTATTTCCTAACCCGGCCTGCTTTATATATATAGCTAGTACTATATACGATATATATAGTGCATGGAAAAGCAGACATTTACGCAAAGCAGCTTAATTTCTTGCATTATGCAGCATGCATGATCGACTGCTTTGAAATTTAAATATATTACTGAAAAGAAAGGAGATTTCATTCGTGAGTTTTGGACAACTAACTAACACAAGTAGTCTTTTTTTGTTTGTTTGTTTGAGTACGTTCCACTGTTAGTCTTCATCAAATAATCATCAATTCTAGCTAAAATCATGGGGACGAGGATTGCATGCCCTGAGACATATAGACATATAGTAATGCATTTGAGTGATTTAAGGTTTGTGTTTGCACTTTGGTACACAGCTTAGAGATGTTAATTGTATTGACATTTAATTTGCTAACATTATCCCTTCTTCATAAAGTATATGAGAGAGATTCGATATGATATTTCCATGGAATGAAACTAGTATAGGAACCTCATATATAGCATACTAGCAAAGGAAGTATCATGCATGTGCTATATTTAATTTTAATGAGGCAATTCCATATAACATACACAAGTTTTGAAATACATGCAAAGTTTTTAATTAGGCATAAGTATAGTAAGATAATAGAAAGAGTGTTATAAATATATGCATTTTATGACCATTATCTCTTTTTATCGAGTATCCCTTTATGATATACTCCCTCCGTTCCGATTTATGTGTCATACTTTGCTTTTGCACGAATTTTTAGGAAGTAGAAGAATGCTTGTTTTTCCATTTTGCCCCCAACTTACCCATGTACTTTGATTTGACTAGTCACATTTCTCTAGAAAAGTTAAAAGTAGGATTATATTAAAATTTTCAAATGCAAGGGTATTTTGGGAAAATAGAAAGGTAATAGCGTTTATTTTAGGAAAGTAGACAATATTTTGGGACGGATGAAAAAGGAAAGTAAGACAGATAAAATGGGACGGATGGAGTAATTTTTTTCCATCGTACATGTATATATTTCAGCACTTGAAAACTCTAAAAGGGGAATTTTAGAATTGTTTTGGTATGAAATCATATTATCTAATAGAATTAGAATTAGAATTCGAATTCGAATTTAAAACTCTAAAAGGGGAATTTTAGAATTGTTTTGGTATGGAATCATATTATCTAAAGAATTAGAATTCGAATTTAAGAATATCCATTCACTATAATATAAAGTATAAAATATAGATCATCGATTAGTTGATTCGTTCTAATTCATTGATTTAATTCATTATTAAAATACCAATAAAGGAAAGAGAACCTTGTTTTTTTGCAAATATTAGTCAAATTGTAAAAAAAAAAAAAAAAAAAAAAAAAAAAAAAAAAAAATTCGTTAAAAATTTGCTTTACAAAAAAATTGTCATTCAAATGAATAAAATTGCCAAGTGGTTCATCAAGGCGTAGCATTGGAACTGCTATGTAGTTTGTAGGCTTTTGTTTACCGAGGGTTCAAATCTCTCTCTTTCTGTACTTTCACTTGTTCCATTGACTCTAATAGAAGGGGTTGAAAACTTGTACTGTACTACGTACATTTCATTACTCGAGTAAACGACATCGTTTTAGAACGGATGGATATATATTTTTTTTATTTCATTTGCGGAAAGACACGTCCCTCTTCTCTGTCTCTGATTTGCCGTCTACGACTTCTTGCTCTCACCTCTAATCTTTGCCAACTCTGTGCCTGCCTCTCCACAATGCCACCACTCACCACTCGCTACCACCAACCCACCAAAGACCAGACGGCAACTCTTCCTCCCCCAAACGGCACCACTCACCACCACCAATCCACCAAAGACCAGACAACGCCTCTTCCTCTTCAAACCTCACCAACTGTCAAGTTCAACTTCTATCTTCTCAATTGTCACCCTATTAATTAGCTTAATTATATTCTCGTATATCCACTACCCAAGTTCACCTAATTTTGCCCTAAATCTTAATTTGCACTGCTGGTTCAAGTTATGATTTTACCTTAATTTTGTTTGTTGGCTACATTTAGCCATGGTGTTGCCATGTTGACTGTTGAGGAAATGAAGAAACAAGGAATTATGTGAATTGTGTTGTCTGTTAAGGCATTTAGCTAGGAATTATGTTGGCTGTTAGGCATAAATGTGATTTAGCTATTGAATATGATGAGACTATATATGCATATTCTGTAATTCTGTGATTATGCTTATGAGGACTTCTCGCCTCCATTTGAAGATAAATCATAGATCTGCCTCTGGATTCAAGTGTCAATACAATCTAGTTTGTTACTTAAGGATAATAGCAGAGGTATAATCCCTTTAAACTTTAGATTGGTGCAAAATCATAACTTCCTCGGTGCAAACGATGTGTGCTCTTATCTGAGGAACTGCAGTACAACGTTGTTCAATAGTTGATTATGTCCATCTACACTCAACACATGTTCATGTTCATATCTTTGCTATAGGAGTCTCTTTCAAAGAGAAACATGACAAATTTGCAAGCCATAACTAAGAAAACAAGATTTCAAAAAATTAATAATCAAATTTAGCTAATTCAAGGACACAACTTTATACTAAATCCAATTAATTAAAATCTGGGTATTGATTTTTGTGAATTTGAACGAGAATAGGGTCTAGAAAATGATAAAAGAACAGAGTACTAAAACCATCCAAGAATGACAAACTTTAAAATAAAATAAAATAAAAACCCAAAAAATCATCAAGATCAGAAAAACATAATCTTTTCTCACACACAGAATTGGCATTACTGTGTCAGAAGGTGTCCTAAGATTTTTCTGATTTCATCATCCTTGATGACGCATACCATCAACACAACCCAAAAATCCTTCACTGAAATAAACTCGAAATCAAAATCGGAAAACCAAAAACAAAAAACATAGAAATTAGCAAGGAAGGAGGATGAATCAGAAAGAACGTAGCGATAGAAGTAGAATGGATCACACGACATAAATCGTCACTCTCTTCTTATATTCATCATTTTTCATCCTCCATCAAGACTCAATCTTTCACTAATTTTATGCGATTGCAGGGAGTGGTGAAGCAAGATTTGCAGGAAGAACAGAATGCTGGGACGCGACATTTTATAGAGTTCCATTGGAGCCCTAATATTCAATATAAGAAGGTCGAGGCCCATAACTCTTGTGCGGCTAAGAAATTGCAAGTCAAAGCTCAGCCCAACATCTTTTAAAGCCAATAGTGTTATAAAAGGCCAAAGCCCATAATAGTGGCAAATTATTCTATGGACTCGGGTCCAAAAATACACAATTTATATATTGAATAATCACAATTTACATATTGAATGTTTACAATTTTTATATACTAAATGTTTACAATTTGCACACTGAATGCTTACAATTTATATATTAAATGTTCACAAATTCTGGGCAAATTATACTGTGCACCATGGCGCATAATGCATTGTGCGCCCTGACCAAAACGACATCTTTTTGACTAGTGCAATATAAAAATAAATAACATTATACAAATTACTTTTTTGTTGTAAATAATTAGATGTAAACATTACTAAAAGTATTATACTTCATCTTTATTAATTTTATAGTTATATATATTAGAACATATCTTGTATATATTGAATGGAAAGATAATTAATAAGGTGAATCAAGAAGAGCCAAGTGCTGCTTCATATATTCCTTCAAAAGCATGGTGGACACAACACTTGAATTTCTCAGCATCTATGAAGTCTTTCTCCACAGACAACGCAATCCTTAGGCTTCCCACGTAGCTCACCATCGTTACACATAAGCTCTGCAAATTATTAAATTAAATACATTTTATAACATATAATTAATATAAAACTGGAAAAAAAAAAAAATACCACCTGTGGGATTCCAGCAATGATGAAGTATATCCCTTTCGCAGGATGATTGGCCAAAGACATTCTTTCCATCGGCCCAATCATATTCGATATTCCCATACTAGAATTCTTTGATGTCCCATGAATATACCTTGCTGTCACCTCGCTGCCCCTAGTTTTCATCAAAGCTTGAAGAAGCCAACCGGTGAGATAAACGGACGCGGAATTTCTTTTCCTCTTGATTATCCGGTGAGCCTTTCGGACAAAGCGGAGGGGGTCGGAAGCGTTGGCCGGAGTTAGGGCCGGGAGGGATACCGGCAAGAAGGTGAATTGGTTTCCCCATGGCATTTCTGCGTTTGGTTTTATCATTTCAGTCACGGATTTGTAGCCCCCTCCTATTGCCCTGGTGTTAAACAGTACCAGTGCCGTGCATCTTGCCTTGCTGGATTCTTCTTCGCATTGCTTCATATATAGCCTTGTCCCGTATATAATAATCCCCGTCACCACATCGTTTATTGTCTGTCCATAATTATTGCAAACAACATATATAGTCAAACATTGTGTACTAATTTATTTATTTTTGAGTGACCAGAATACATTTAGGATAATAATATGATACAGGATATAAATCAATTTAAGTTTTTTTTTTTTAGTGTAGCTTGCTGAATTTTAGGCACCTATATGGGATAAGGTTGCTCCATACCCAAAACCAATTATCCAATTTTTTACCTTTGATTAAGAATGTACGAGTTCTTTCCACTCAACCACATCACAGGTTATAAATCAATCTAAGTTATTCATAACTGATCAGCTTCCAGTGAGAGCTTTATGATTACCAAGCCCACAACTAATTTCAGTGAGGTTGTCTCATCACGTACTAATTAATATATTGCATGCATCTTAAGCTAGGAAAATGAATGTGGTTTTCAATCATGTATATTATATATGTTTTAGTGATTATTACCACTTTAAGTTTGTCCTTGATTTGCTTGATTTGATCAAGGGAAAACGACATAGTAGTGGTGGCAATTGGACGGAACTCCACGCCGTCGTCGCCGGAGCGGACCGGAGTCCGGTCATCTTCAACCAAAGTGCTCTTGAAGACGCTCCATCCAAAATCATAAACCGTGTTGAATGCTCCAAACAAGAACCTGGGCATGGCTTTGAAGAACCCAGAAATTTTATTGGAAGCTTTGGAGCGGGGTGCGGCGGTGCTCCTTTGGCGGGAAGGAAACGTGAGCGGCAGCGCCGGATTATCCGCCCTCTGAAGGCAGGAAAGGATGGCTCCCATGAGAGAATAGCCATCTCCGAGCGAATGGTGAAGCTTGAAGATTACGTTGCCGGCTGCATTGGTTGTTGGGTATTTAAACAAGTGGATTTCCCAGAGTGGACGGTTTGGAGGGAAAGCCTCCATTGCCATCTTTGAGAGGTAGTCGGAGAGACAATCATCGTAAAATTCTATGGGTTTTCCGGCGGGATAGTTTGGAACTTTCACGTGCTCTGAATGGTTCACTTCCACCCTTTTCCATTTCTTCCCACCATTAATTCCTTCACTCACCTGAAAATTAAATATATTGCTATATATTTATATATCTAACAGATCGAAAAACATGAATAAGATCACAAGAAATTAAACTTAATGAAGCTACTTAATTAAGAGATAGAACAGACCATTATAGAAGAAAACCTGGGATTAATGGGGACAAAGACATCCTTGAGAAGTGAAATGACGAGAGAATCAGAAGCCTGTATTGGAATCTCACTTTCCAAAACTCCCAGAATAGTAAGGGACAGCACTGAGCTGTTCAAGAACTGGGCACTAGGACTAGCAGCTTCCTCGTATCCATGTTCCATCATTTCAACTTTTTTTTTTTTTTTTTTTTTTTTTTTTTAATGTTGTTTCCTTGATTGTATTGCTACGAACTAAACTCTCTCCTAATCCTGGTTTATATAGTTTCGATGCATGAAAAAGCAGACATCATAGTTACACACGAAACTTGTAATTACGCAGCGAGCTTTCGTGCATGCATGCATGACTGCTCTGAAAAAGCCTGAAATGATATACAATGAAAGGAGATTTCGTGAGTTTTGGACAACACAATTCAAATCAATTATTTGCATGATGATCTAGTGGCCTCTTTGTGGGAATGAAAGGGACGAGCTTAGGCACGTGTTGGGTTGGGATTAGTTCTTCATATATCAAATCATCAATTCTACCTAAAATCAGGGGATTAAGGATCATTAACAATGGGGTAGCATCCACAGCAACATATATAGTAATAATTCGCATTTGAGTGATTTAAGGTCCGTGTTTGTAGTTGGGTATATAACTATATATGTCGTGTTGACCTTTAGTTTGCAAACATTATCCCTTCTTCATGAAGTATATGAGATGGATTTAATCTTTCCATTGAAGCTTGGAACCTCATGTATAGCATGCAAGGGAAGTATCGTGTGCTATATTTTATTTTGTTTTATAATATGTTCTAGATTAATTTTTTTTTATTGATGGGTTAAAATTTATCCAAACTAGAACAATTTTTTTTTTTTTTTTTTATTTTTGAGTACTATTAACTCTGTTACAATGTACGTAGTATCCACACTTTCTCAACCTACGCACAAAGAGTTAATACTGCGCGCCCAGCTGGCCCAGCTGCTCTTATTGAGGCCACTAGACTATAATTAAGGTCATTGGCGGAACAAACTTACTTAATTGGTGAAATTTTTTTAATGGCACAAAATCTTTCAATAACTTTGATGATTTTTTTTGGGTGACGAAAAATCTATAACCACTATTATTCAAGGGTGTATATTAGGCGACAGGTAGGCTCAACCGAGAAATCCTATGTGACATGCTCGACCAAGAGGGTGTTGACGCTAATCGAATATTCGGCCTGCTAATTGTACAGTATTAGAAAAACCATGTGCTATGGGGTTTGATCGAGAATGTATTAATAAGAATTGAATTCATAACTTTTTGAGAATCATGCTCCACCCACTTGGTTACTTGTTTTGGGACAATTGTTTTTCATTTTACGCTTTTGAGTGCCTATACATACAAGACAAATTAGGATTTAGGTGATGAAGTTTGCTGCTTGATTTTTCGTCTCTCATGTACTAAAGAGATTAATAAGATAATTCTATGACCAAATAAAATATTAGTGATCTAAAAAACAAATTAAATAAATAAAATTGTGATAATATCATTTAATGTTGTATAATTTTGAAAGAAATTAAAACATATAGATGCACACAATTTACCTTTTTAATTTGTTGTACTTGTAACTTAATTAGATTAAATCAAAGTAATAGTTATTACTTTAAAACGTTTAATTTTAACTTTGAATTGAAGCATTTATCACCATAGAAAGAAACAGTAGTATCTTTATCTATCATTTATGGTTTAATTTAAACAACTTTAATTTTTGTTATGGCTTTAATTATTTTAATGGTAAAAAGAATTCAAACTTTTACAATTATATTGTCATATGTACATTCTAATTAATTAAATTTGGTAATTTAGGGTAAAAAAAAGTGTAATTTTGTGTAACTGTACTTAATCTAATTAAATAAAATAAAAAATTTCTTGAAAATTTAATTAAACAGAATTTCAACCACCTTTTTGATGTTTTAATTAAGGATTCCAAAGCACTAAACACGCCAATATAACATGAAACTACAAACATACAATCCAGGCCAATTAATGCGATAAAACTAAAAACATTACGATAAGAATTTCTAACAATATAATCTTAAAACTAACGACTTTTGAACTCCTAAACTTGGGTACGTTTGACTTCAATTCGTCAACCCAAACTCATCATGAAAAGTGGAGCCAGCAAGAGGGCGGATCCCCATAATGTGCCAACCGAGGCATGAACCGCCATTGCAGTCGACTTGTCCGGGGTCTGGGCTGGGGCTGGGGCTGGGGCGGGAGACAACGGAGTGCTGGAGGTGGGAGAAGGGGAAGGTGGTGGTGGTGGTGGAGGAATAACGGTAGGAGGCTTAGAATGTTGGGGAGACATAACGATAATGATCAGCTTCTGTCCCTTTTCACAGTTGTCAGCATGACCACTTATGAAGAAGAATTCACCCGACCTCGTCAATGTTAGACTAGAATTCCCGTCTGTCAGGTTGTCAATTGGATTTGTCTTGTTGCAATCATAGTAATCCCTTTTGTTAACTACAAGAACTGAATCCTCCCCTTTCTTGTACCTGAAAACTGCCCACAACACAACAAACAACAATTACTCAACAAAACACAAACATTTTACATATATGTTAACAAACTAGTATGATGATCCATCATATGACCACGTACTGACTGTATCGTTGATCTGGAACCGGATTTCTCCGGCCCAACGGTTCAACCCATCAACGGGCTGCAGAACCCAACCATCTTTCCCACCAACGTAGAACGTATGAGCTTCACACAACCATACAAATCCCATCAACAACAGATAGCTTACAAAAACAACAACGTTTGACCCCATCGCTAAAACAACAAGCAGTCTGAGAATTATTATTATTATACGATATAAGATGATCTGTGAATGGAGAAATGAAGGGGCAGGGCAGGCTTAAAAAGGGGCAGAGATTAAAGATGGCATTTAAGAGATTGCTGTGACTTTATAGTGGTCAAGTGTGGGAGTATAGCCATAAGGCTAATTGTAATCAGATTAGCATAATTTTAGGAATAACGTTCTTCCATAACAGTTAGAAGTTCAAAAAACATAATAGTACTACTTAAAAGACACCATTTATACCGCGCTTTAATTGTTAAGTCATGGAATTACAAGTTATATTACATCTACTCACAATTTTGATTCATATTATCTAAACTCTTTTCAAGAATTACTCATGAAGCCGGCACGGACTTAACTCAATAGTTCAGTAGTCAGTATTTGAAAAAAAAGACCAAGATTCGAACTTTGGTGCTGACAGTGTGGGGATTTTGCCCAAAGTGTGCAGATAACTTGTGGGAACTGACATTTGGCCCTGTCTGCTAAGCTATTGAGTCACCGTGAATTACATCATCCCAATTGCTCTGTCGGGCCCGGGATCGGGGATTAAACCTTTTGGGAGAAAGAATTACTCATGAAAATTAAACTGAATGTTCAAAGCAACACTGTTTTGGCAAGCACAAACACTTTCAATAATCACTTAGTAACCTGAAAGGTAAAACTATTTATTCTTTGCTGCAACAACTATATATATATAGATATATACAAGAAAACCATCTGAGGTCTGACACTGCATAACAACATTAATTGTTCAATCTATGTTGACCATCTGGGATCCTAAACAACCACTGGGCAGTTACATTGTTCCCCAACATTATTGAAAGTAAAGGAAGGAGCTGAGAAAACCTACACAGGTTGTTACTTTCACTTATCGTCATTATCGCGCTTTCTGGATGGACGATGGATATTAACCACCGCCACCACTTCCGTATTTCTTTCCAAGAACGATGAGCTGCAACTTGTCGTACCCAGCTAGCACACCGGCACCAGCAACAGCTCGCAGAATGTTGGCTCCGGCTCCCTTGAAAAGTGACTTGCTGCCTTCTTTCTTTATTATCTGAGAAAAGGCATCCATCGAGCCCTTGTATTTGACCGCCTCTCCAGATGTCATCATCATCCTTCTTCGCACAGTATCAATCGGGTAAGAGGCCAAGCCTGCACCGATAGTGATTCCCCATCCCAGTAAGAAACTTGCCAAGAAACTGTCCTGTAAGCCACCAACTAGAACAACAGGTTTAAGTGAGTCGTACATCCCAAAGTACAGCCCACGATAAACAATAATCCCAACACACGAGATGGTAAATCCACGATAGAGCCCAGCAAGACCATCAGACTGGATCGTTTTCTTGTAAACATCGAGCAAACCGTTAAACTGCCTCTCACCGCCCTTTTTTGCAGCCTTGCCATCATTAGCCAGGCGTGTTCTGGCATAATCAAGGGAATAGACAAACAGAAGGGACGAGGCACCAGCAGCCCCACCCGATGCCAAGTTCCCTGCAAACCACTTCCAATAGCCGTCTCTGTCTTTCTTGAAATTAAAGAGTCGCTTAAAGTAATCTTTGAAGGCAAAGTTGAGTGCCTGCAAACATAAATTTGCTCAAATTAAAGACGCCACAAAAAGCAATGATATGACAAAAGATTATTTATCCAATTCAAATTACTAATACAATTCTCAAGTCCTTCAGAAAACACAGATATATGAGAGAAACTTATATAGTGGCACACTTGGATAGCAGGTACAATAAACACAAGAAAGAGTTCCATATGAACAAAAACAGAGTCCTGAAGGGATTCTCTATTAGATATTGGCTCTGTTTGACAGAACTTATTTAAGAGCTTATAGCTTATTTTAAGCTATTAATCAGCTATTCAAATATCCTACCAAAAGGAAGTTAAAGACATGCTCAAGTATAAGATAAACATAACGTGGCAGCTACATGAAGATGTCAGTGAGCAAAAACCTAACCATAAAGTCAGCTAACCTGAGTGGGGAAGTATCTAATAACATTTGCTGTATTTCCCCGCCAAAGAGAAAGAGCGCCTTCATCCCTGATAGTTCTGGCAAAGCAATCAGAAATCCCCTTGTACGGTTCAGAAAGCCGACCAGCTTTTATCATTTCATCCTGATTCTGAATCAAAAGCTTAACCCTCTCGATCGGAGCAGCAGCAGTCTTAGAGACAGCAGCAGAAACCCCTCCCATGAGGAAATCCACCACAAAACTGGAAGCTTTCTTCTCAGATGGAGCCTGTATAAGAATTGGAGACTGCAGCGATAAAATTCCCAGGCCCGCACCTCGGGTTTCTGGCACCAAACGACTCAGCATTACTTCATTGACATACCCACCAGTCAAATTGTATGACCCAACATACTTGGAATGCATCTGGGGAGAAATCTGAGAGAATAGGAAAGACTGGCCATGTATTTTCTGAAATACTGGTGCAGTTTGTGAACCATCTGCCATGTTAATCAATATGAAGCAGGCCTGCAAATAGCTTAAGACATAACCACATAAGCAAATAGCTTCAAATGGCAGAATTAACAGTGCAATGAGTAAGAGTGACTGACTATAACAAAACCACTAACTAAATTAAAGCAAAAGTTTACAGCTTTCTGGTTCTAAACTAAAAACTAAATACAGCCCACTTGATTTAAACATAGAATTGCTTAATTAATCCAAGAACATATATACAAGGAAAAAGAATATCAGAGTTCCAACTCTTTCTCATAGCTAAAATCAACAAACAGAAACATAAACTACCATGTCCGGAACTTCACAACCAAAGATCATATTGAACAACAAGAAGAAGAAGAAAGTAGCAATGAAGATGAACATGTAATCAAATCAGTATTGGCATACATGATATATACATACAAAAACGAAATTGAGACCTGAGAGGGCGGCCACTCCAGATAATCGGAGAGGGTGATTCCTACTTCCTAGTTCCTAGTCGAAGTTGAGAGGAGAGAAGGACACGACCAGTTTCACTTGACTATCATTCAGCACACAGCAGACCAGAAAGGACTAGGGTTCTGACATATTTACGCATCTGACCCTGCATTCCCGCGAAAATTGTCAAAATGCCATTGACCTTTCGGGCCTGGATGATGGGATTGGTTGAGATGGACAAGCTTTCAACAATGGCGTGCTCACTTCACCTACAATGTTCTGTTCTGAGTTTGGATATTACCAAAAAATAATGCCAAATAACTTTTCAATATTTACGTTATAAAATCAGACATTTGATTTTATTTTATCTTTTTTAAAGTGTCACATTCATCATAGAAATCCGGTAATTGATCCACACCCCTTACTAACAAAAATTTTAATGAATTCTGGTCTGGCGAGATTTAACATAGTTGATTTATTGCATGATTAAAGGTCTGGAGGCGACACAAAGATGTTGAATACACTACAGTCTGATTACACGATTCATAATTTACTTACATATAATGGTAAAATTGTGATCACTTAAGTTTTAAAAGAATTATAATAAAGTATTTTAAAATTGATAAAACTACACTGAAATCATCATAATCTGACATGTTTATTGCATTTGGTCATTTAGCTGTAGTAGATTTATTCTCCTATCCTAATTATAAATAAATAAGAATTATATTATCTTATTATCCACAAAAAGGCAGTAGTTTCGAGATCAAATTTTTTGCAAATTTCAAAATTAAAAAGGCAGTAGTTTTGAGATCAAGTCCATTATATTTTTAAAAAAAATATTGAATTGTACTATTACAATTATATATAAAGTACAAGCAGCTAGCTAGCTTAAACCCATTTTACATAATAAAGGTATATAACACAATTTAAAACTGCAAGTTCTGGACACAGTAAGTAATACACAACGTCCCTCCCTTCCCCGGGGGGTTCAAGGATACTTGAACAAAAAATATATCTCCCGCTGCACACATCATCACCTCATCTGAGAGGCCGTGCTGGAAGTTGCTGATGCTCCCGCAGAAGCGAATGGACACAACTTTCGCCTCTCTTTTCTTTTAATAAGCTGCAGCCTTGGGGATTTCGCTCTTGTCACTTGTTTCGAAGATTTCTGAGGTAAGAATGGCTGATCGAATTTTGGGACCGGTCTTGCATGCGGCACTAATGTCCTCCGAAGTTGTTTCAGAGCTTTTTCTTCCTCCATCTGCATGCATATATCACCATTCAGCTTTCCAATAATATTCACATTTTTTAACTGTGGTAGATAGAGAGAGATTGCTGATACTTACCATCTTTTCAGTTTCTGCCTCTTCTCTGTACCTCTTATACATCATCTCTTTCTCCTTGATCTGCATTGCATAAACCCAATTTATTTGTGAGTGGTTGCTCCGATTTTGTTTGTTATTCAAGGTTAGGGAGAAATAATATAATAATACCTTTTCATCAAATTTTGCTCTATCTACAGCACGATGTTCCACGTGCAGATTGAACTCCTGAACTTCAGTGAGGGGCTTACGTGCTTTCTCAGGAACTGGAATTGGGTCCCTGCAATCACAGCTGATAAACAATATAAATATAAACTCCTTTTATCAAGGAATGAAATGTATGCATACCACACCAACATTATTATATAATATAATAGAGTGGGTTCTTACTCTTTCAGGACTGGTTGTGCCTTGAATACTCTCATCATAGCCTCTTCCTTCTCTAATCTTTGCCTTTCTTCCATTTCCTTTTGCATTTCCTGTTCATGCCTCGTGAGACTCTCCAGTTGAAAAGGTTCAGGTTTTGTGCATTGTTTGGGCTCTGGTTTTGGTGGAACCTGCATGAATAATGCTAGCTAATTCAGTAAAAGAATGCTTGGATTACATTACATGACAGTAACCGAATAATACATGACAATTTCGTACCACAGGATAGTCAGTGGTATAGGGATATGGAGTTGCTTTAGGAACTCTGGCCCTTTCTTCCTCAATCTGTTTATTCAGAAGTTCCATAAACAATCTTCTTTCTTTCTCCGCCCCTCTCTCCTGAATTCCAAAAAAAAAAAAAAAAAAAAAAAAAAAAAGAGTTATTCAAAAACAATATTCAAAGTTTCAAGTGTACCAGTAACACACATGAAGAATTACATACCTCTGTGTGGAGATGGAAAGGATTTGGCGCGGTATTTCTGGGAACATATTTGTCATTTTGAGGTTCTGAATTCAGTGAAAGCTGAAAATTTCGGGAATAAACTTAAATCAATAAGAAACCTTCCCAGGAAAGAGATAAAATAGTTAAAAAGAAGTCATCTCTGATATAACCAACCTTGTCAAATATGTCAGCAACATTTGTTGGTGGTGGTGGTGGGATCCTTTCATCTGTAGCAAAGTGAAACTCTTGTGGCACAGTCACCTGCTTCTTTGTGTTGCAAAATATCCCCACATCTCCTTTACTTTCAAATATCTATGTGAATTGGCAAGAAAAAAGTAAATTAACAAACTACTGAAACCAGAAAATTCTGTTCAAAGATCTGTATTTAATTTCAGAGATCACAGAAGGCAGTACCTTCTTATTCAAAGGCCTGGCTTTGAACTTGGGAAGTTTCTCAAGTTCTTCCTTTTCAAGTTCTTCAGAACTTTTGATCTTAGGAGGGCGTGCACGCAGCAAGGTTTGGAGAGTGGGTGATTTGGGTGCTGTAAGATGTGGCCTCCATGGATGACACTGCAGAGAAAACAAGTATGCATTATGGTCCAATAAAAGCAACCTAATGGCAACCTAAGCAGAAATAAGGTCATGCCCTCGAGTTAAAAACAGTCATTGCAGTACCTGATTGGATTCTACTGAAGCCACAGTAGATGTTTCTGCATTTTGGTTGGCCCTTGCCATAGTTTCCAAGTGAAACTCCTGCAGAAGTAAGGATGTTAGCTAAAATATATTCATGGTTTGATTAATGCAAACTCTAATCAGTGTGCTACACTATAGCTACCTTAAACTCTGGAGGTTGGGGTGTACTCTTTGGCAGTGGAGGTACACCTGGGGCTTCAAAAATCTGCATCAAGATGAAAGAAAAAGAATGCACTCAAGCATGAATACTAAAGCAGTCTCTTAAACTGAGGCAAGATGTACACACTCAGGAAAACAATGCGGTCACTGGAGGTACCTTCTTATTTAGAGGGCGAGCCTTAAACTTGGGAATTTTTGCCATCATTTCTTCTTCCAACTCGGCTGAGCTCTTAAGTTTTACTGGACGGTAACGTTGAGCTGTTTCAAGTTCAGGTTCCTTAGGCCTTGTCAGTGTAAGCTTAGGCTTCCTCTGCACTGATCCAGCCATACCATCCTGAAAAATATTTTAAATTTTTAAAGAAAAATCTACTAGAAAAATAATAGAACTTTTAAGCAAGTTATCTGTATATTTACATGTGACATGGAACAATTCATGCGTGGCATCGACATCTCCCTTGTACTGGATTCAAACTTCTTCATCATTTCTGCCATTGAAATAAATGGGGCTGCTGGTTCTCGAACATAAATCTGAAATAGAGATTTTCACCATGTATTAGATTCAGAAATTAATCATCCATAAATGAAATGCAAGACATAAAAAAATAATGCATACTAACCTTTCTGTCTTCTGTACGTGTTTTAGCAGTTGAAGTGTACAAGTTGCTGGTAGATTTCCCAGGTCTTGTTTTATGGAGCAATGTTTGGGGTTTGATGCTAAGGATCTAAGCAAAAATGAGAACAAATTGAGGAGATCAGATTAAAAATATGTGAAAAATGATACACTTAAAAAATATGTGAAAAATGATACACTGCCAAAGACCCACCTGTCTAGCTTTCCCCTCTTCAAGTTTTTGCCTCTTTATAGCTTGATTCTCTTGAGCAAAATTTGGAGTTTCAGATATAATTTTCATATTTGTGTTCCTGTGGAATCAATAATTGATAAGAAACATATTACACAGGTTCACCAAAATAAAGAGATATAGAACAAAACTAGACAAACATGGAAACTAAAAGAAAGATATCTACCTTCTTGCACTAGCTGGATTAATGGTTTTCACTTGTGATTGGGTTTTTGACTTCAATGCAGAGGGGTTCCTGATCATACTTGCTATTTTTTTAGCTGTCTGGTGCTTCTTAGCATCAGTTTGTTGGGCTGCTTTCTGAGAAGTTATTTTTGGTGGCTGAGGGGTGCAAGCTCCTGTTAAATAATCTCAGCAGTCAGTGAAACTAAGTTGGCATTGTCAGTGAAACTTAATTGAGGCAAACCAAATAGTATAAACAAAGATGATATTCACAGAGTGGAGCAAACCTTGGAGTGAGGACAGCTTCTTACAGGATCCTTGAGAACTTAGTGATATTACAGCAGAAACAGAACCATGAACAGCTGACTGCTTGTCACCAGATCCCTGAGAATTTAGCAAAATGTAATAAGAATCATAACCCCCAAAACAAAAGTAGAATACTATGCAGATGGAGCAAAACATACCAAATTGGCTTCCCCGTCAGGAGTCACTTCTTCCTGAAGCAGAACAGGTTTGGGCTTGATGGGCTCAGTTGGAGGCCTGGTTTCACACAGGTCACTACATTTAGTCAAAATTCAGTAGAATTATTTATATGCCAAAGAAATAAAAGCTAGTTCCATCATATCCAAGCTAGTTCTATAAGGGAAATTGACCTTGTTTGTTCCTTTGCAACCAATGTTTCATTTGCAGTAGTATATGATGATGCAGTAGCTGAATTTGTTGATTCTTGAGCCTGAATTAATATGAAAGTCAATTTTTCAGTGAATTCTTGAGTTTCCCTCCAAGATATAGCATGCGTAATAGTAATCAATATTGCTACTCATTAGTCATTATAAAAATAATGAAATGTATAGTTGAAATGCAGAGCTATGGTCTAAGAATCAACATAATATAGAGTGTGACCACAATACCTTCGGCATCTCATTGGCTTCACTGAAATCACAGATACTGTCAAGCTTCACCGATCTTCCACTCTTAATCCTTTGCATAAAAGCTGAAATAGTTGACACCAGAATCATTCAAACATCATATTTGACAGCAGATACAAATATGAAAACTAACATATCATTACTTTGAATCATCACCCTATATTGCACTGATTCAGGACCCTCACAGAACTTATGACTAGAAAAAACATTCAAATTTCTGGTCACAGTCATCACAGAAAAAACATTATTGAAGTTACATACAAAATCTTTATGGGTTGTTTGGTAGACATGAATTGCATTGCAGTTCAGACATGAATTGCATTGCAGTTCCACCACAATTCTTTGATAACTCCAATTACAATGTTTGGTTGGAGGGAATTGCAATTCCCTCCTTTTGTTGAATTGCAATTCATGGGGTTGCACAATTCAATGGTTGTCGGAAAGGAAAAAATAGATGACAACCATATCAAATCAAATTAAACCCTAAGATCACAACTCAGAACCCTAGCATTTGTTTAAACACTTTTTTCTCAAGAGATGAAATCCTAAAATAGAAATCGAAGAGACACATAGGAGTTCAATGAAATAAGATGAGTAGTGAGCGTACGAGAAGGGCCATAACATTTGTTTAAACCATATCAAATCAAATTAAACCCTAAGATACTTTTTCTCAAGAGACGAAATCCTAAAATAGAAATCGAAGAGACACATAGGAGTTCAATGAAATAAAGATGAGTAGTGACTGTACGAGAAGGGCCATAGCATTTGTTTAAACCACATCAAATCAAATTAAACCCTAAGATCACAAATCAGAACCCTAGCATTTGTTTAAACACTTTTTCTCAATAGACGAAATCCTAAAATAGAAATCGAAGAGACACATAGGAGTTCAATGAAATAAAGATGAGTAGTGAGCGTACGAGAAGGGCCATAGCTGAGCGCCGTCTCGAACCAGAGCTCAGCCTTGCGCGCATCTTCCTCTGACTCTCCGTGAACGAAGTCGTAGAATCTCGGAGCAGAGAACTCGTACACCTCGTCGACCAGCAACGCACTCGGATCATCCTCCGTCGCCATTGAGGACCCGATCGGATCAAACACGGCCGGAGAGTTTGTAGAATGAAGGTAATGAGGAGAAGAAGGAAAGCGAGAGAATCTGTGTGCAATGAAGGAGTTTCTGAATTTGGTGAATTGCAATAAAGGAAGAAATACTGGCTATCTAGGAAGGCAATAACGTTCAGATTTCTGGCTAACGGTCATATTTTTTGAATGTGGGAGCTGAGTGCCTCTTTGGACTGTCGCGACTTCGTAACGGCTATAACCAGCGCATATTAACTACTATAAGAAGAACGACACCGTTCTCCACAAGAGTAAAGAATATTTCAGGTTACAAATTTGTCATTAGTATTACTCCGTAATATAATTTGATATATTAGATCTCAAAAAATCAATAATACTTTAATGCATTTTCAACTTATTTTTGCCTAATTTATTTACGGTTTGAAGCTTAAAATTCTTTAACAGTTATTATATTTTCTAAATTTTATTTTTATGTATTTAACGTACAATTTTTAATATGATTTTTAAATATATACAAAGTAAATTTTATTTGTTAGTAATAGTTTTTTTTTTTTTTTTTTTTTTAGATCAGAATGGAAGGGGCGACCCGCTATTTACATATGAGGTATATCTACTTGGGCCCATACTTGTCTCCTCAGGAGCTACGTAAAGAATCGTAGTCCCTCTTTGATCATCAATTCTCCTTGCCAAGCAGTCAGCAACACGATTTTGATCCCTAGGCACAAAGCTTACGTTACCGATAATTTCTCCCGTTCTCGCTTGCATGCATGGATGAGGTTGCTCACAATATTAATACAAAAATTTAAGAGCTTGTCTCTTGTGAGCACTCTAATAAAAATGCGGCATAACAAATTTGCATATATAATTAATACTTTAAGCCTTATATATATATATATATATATATATATATATATATATATATATATATATATATATATATACTCCATAATATTTTATATCTTAAATATAGTACTTTAGAACAAAATTGTAATATACAATTTGACGAAAATAAAGTAATAAAATATCAAAATTACATATATCATCAATACTTTAATCATGAGAAAATACCAATTTTGGTCCCACGAGTATAGCAAAATGATAGTTTTGGTCCACATGTTTAATTCATAGCAGTTTTCATGCACAACTATTGTTTTAGTGCTAACATTATCACGCCGGTCACCCATTCGTTTAAGACATGCCGAAATATGAAATTATTAAAGGTATTTTCGTTCTTTTCAAATTATGATCCCAATTTGAGCATACACAAGGGAATTTAAGCCCTAAGATCTATCCCTATTCGTAGTTCTGCTCCTCCAATTAAGGCAAGATGGGGAGCAGAACTGCTAATTGAGATCGATTTTAGAGTTTAAATCCATTTATTCATGCTCAAATTGAAATCTTAAGTTGAAAAGGACAAAAATGTCCTTAAATTTTTTAGATTTCAGCCTGTCTTAAATGGAGGGGTGACCAACGTGATGAATTTTGGTACTAAAATAATAGTTGTGGATGAAAATTGGTACTAAAACAAATAGTCGTGGATGAAAATTGGTAGGAGTTAAACATGTGGACCAAAACCGTCATTTTGCTAATACGTGTGAGATTAAAATTGGTATTTGATCCTTTAATCATTGTATATAATACTTTAAATCATAAATGTAATACTTTATAGCAATTTACAATAAATAAAGTAATAACATAACAAACTTTCAAATATAATACTTTTTTTTTGGATTAATGTGGATGGACAAGCCCAGTGACTAACTCTAGCACTCTTCAATAACAACACGCTCCCACTTGCGTCTCCATGAAAGCTTCAATAACATATTTCGAAAGTTCGAAAATTTGATCATTCCAACCTGGACTCGGACCACCCACTGCACGTAATTTGCCAAGGCATCCGCCACCAAATTCTGTTCCTGCAACACATGTTGAAACTTAAGATCCAAATCTTTGACTCTCCATAGCTTACATCTTTCAATGATGTTACCAAGATGACCCCTATGGTGATGATTAGAGCATCAATATCAGTTTGGAATTATTCACGGATTTTTATGAGCTTATAAGGAAAGAGAATAAACAAAGAGAAGAAACTAAAAAGGGGAAAAAAAAAAAAAAGGGAAAAAGCTGAACCACTAACACAAGTTTTTTTCTTTTGAAACAAAAAGTAACCGGAAACGCGCCAGCAGGCGTGGGCGCGTTATGCGCTGTGAGGCAGTACTTCAAGGTATTTTCTCTCACATGGGAACCCCACAATAAACTCAAAATTATATGATAAATATCTAACAAATAAACTCTTCCCCACCTTTGTTAAAACTGCTCCTTTATTTATTCATTTCCAAAAACTCAATAATATCCTTTTGTGTAAATACTCTTACCACTAATCCAATTAATGACTCACCTTCCTGAAACCTTTATTCAATTCCATGCCCATTCCATCCCTATCCAAATAGCTTAAGCTTCCGTGACATCCACCCTAGACAATGGAATGTATATGTTTATATTCACTCGGCACACATCTTTAATTTTAGCGTCTAAGACTTCCTCCTAAGTTAAAAAAACATATCTATTGTATGATATAAATCATCATATATTTATAAATACCGCTTCCTAGTAAAGCTGTAAAAGATTATTTGAAGAGTAATAAAACATTTACTCTTACTTTTTACTCTATTTTTTTTGCTATTAAAATATGATCCATCCTTTAATTAATCTCTCCCTCTCTCTCTCTCTCTATATATATATATATATATATATATATATATATATATATATATATATATATATATATATAAGTAAAATGACGGTCAAAAAAAATTTTCCCTCCAAAGTGTGAAAGTATTTATTATATTTACATTAATTTATAAATTCATGTAATTTTAATAATTTATAAAGTCATGTAATTTTAATTACAAATAATCAAATCAACATCAACATAATTATTAAATTAGTCAACATAGCATTTTATATCATTAATTTATAAAATATTACATATATTATATATTATATCTCTATCATATCTCTATATTATATATTATGTTTCTAACATTAATTGATTGGAGAAATTTAAAATTCAGAATTAATATTTACATGAACATCTACACCTACTTCAACACTATAAATAAATCATCATCCACAGGACCACAACCAATACTACAATTATGTTTGGGTCGTGGCTGAAATTGGGAGGGTGATTGTGGCTAGAATAGGATGAAGAATATTTATGGGAGTTTAGATATCTTATAGAGCTTTATACCGTGCGATTTGGAGAAGATGAATCAATAAATGCGCAGTAGACATGAAGGAAAAGTTGATGATAAAAATCATACCTTGCTTCTAAACCTGTGGCTTCGATTATTGGAGTTGTTCTTTCTTGGAAGCAGAGGCAACTATTAGCCGTAGCTCATGAACGCGAAGAAGAAGAACCAACTTACTTAAAAAGATTATTTTGCCCTCATGAATAAAAAAATTTAAAAAATGTTTAAGTTATTTTGGTCAATTTTCACCGGTGATTTGGCCCGAAGGACTAAAATTGCTAAAAAGAACATAGTTAAAAAACTAAATTGTTAGTTTTAAAAGTCATGGAGCGAAATTAACACACCTCCTATAGTTATAGAACCAAAGTTGTAATTTACTCATTTGTTAAATTAATAATAATCTGTACATCACACGGACACTTACTAGTTTATATAACAAAGTGGGTCACTATTTTTATTCATTTGCTTTTATTTACGCAATAAATTTCCATACATGACCTAGAGTTATGAGTCACTGTGCTAAACATGGCAGCAAACGACACGTTATTGACGTATCTTAAACCTCCGCGGGCTGACTCACTCTCTCTACTCCATCTTCATCCTTCTGATTCAACCGCCTCTGCCATGCATGCACCGCCTCCTTGCCCTTTTAAACCCATTCATTATTTCTCCCTTTTGCATACATTCATACATCATCCTACCATTGAAAGGCACTGAGATTTCTACTGTTCCTAAAGATATAAGCAAGTGATCAAAAATGGCGTCAGAGCAAGTGAGAAAGGATAACGTTACAAATCTGAGAGAAATCCGCGCAGAAGGCGAGGAGAAAGTGCCCAAAACCGCGGACCGCCGTAGTCATGGTACCTCCGCCGCCGAGAAAATTCACGGCGGCGGAGGAGCCAATAACACAAGCGGCACTCAGCAGCGCCGCTCTCAAGGCCAGCAGAAGAACGGAGATAAAGAAAGAAAGGAAGAAAACTGGCCGTCACTGGAGGAATCCGGGCTACACAGAGCGACGGCGAAGCAGAACACGACGGAGGCTCTAAGGGCCGCCGAGGAGCGGTACGAGAAGGCGAAAGAACGTGAACGACAGGCTCTGGACGAGGCAGCAGAGAAGGCTAGAAAAGCCGCCGAAAGTTGCTCACAGTATGCAGCCTTTAAGAGAGCAGAAGGCGAGAGAGAAAAACAAGTAACAGAAACAGAAGACAGAAACGCCGGCGGCGGCGGCGAAGGGGCAAGGGACATACATGCCGGAGTTAAGGCGGAGGAAGGAGGAGGAACAGGGGTGTTCGGAGCCATTGGTGAAACTATAGTCGAAATAGGAAAGACTGCTCAAGATCTCGTAGGCGGACTTGGGCGGAGCAAGTGAATAATCGCCGGCCGGAACAGAGAACAGAAGTTGGAGTGGTTATTATAGTCTAGTACTATCTAGTACGTTAATAATGTAGTATTTTGAGTATGAATAATTTGATGGGTACGTGAAATAATCAATCTTTGTGTTAGTAATAAAGAGTATAAATCCTTTTCTAATTTCATATTACCTTAACTAGGAAACAATATAATTACCTGCAGGAAATGTATGTTGAATTGTTTACTAATGTTTTTACGTTACGGAATCAGAATCTTATGACAAAAAATTCACCCCCAAACTTGATTCTCCGACATCCGGCCGTCTCCTCCGTGAAAGTAGACCTTTCACATTTATGTAAACAAATTTTATTAATTGATTGATACAATAAAAACATAAACACAATGAGACTAAACACCTACAATACTCGTTAAGATTAGTGTTCTAAATACAATCACAATTTTAAATAGGTAGACATGATTAGACATGTGTAGTTAATACGTTTTGGATTTACACGACATAATAACCCATTTAATTTAAAACTCATTAATATTCTTTTTTAATAAATAAAACTTAAAAATTTATTATTAAATCAACAAAATAGTAAATATATTTCATTCATGTTAGATATATTAAATATAATATATATTAAATATAATATAATATATCTATAATATATATTAAATATAATATATCTATATATTATATTTATATATTGAAAAGAGAGAGAGGAAATAACTCTTTTAATTGATGATTAATGAATGAACAATAATAACCTATTTATACTAAAAGATAATCACTAATAAAGCTAAAGATTAGGAGTAATGCTCCATGTAAAGCTACAATTAATGCCACAATCTATGTAATGATACCATGCATAACCCACCTACTGCATCCATGCATTATTCATAACAAACTAATTTAATACTTGGTTTAACTATTACTAATAATAATAATAATATTATTATTATTATTAATATTATTATTATTATTATAACATTGCATCCTTTAAACCAAGTTGGATATATTGGTCATCCCAATATCTCCTTCTTCAATTTAAGAAATGTCTCCGTCTTCAAGTTGGATATACTGACTTGTATTTCGTTCTGTAAAGCCACTTGACTCCAATTGACTTCTTTTCAGGAGGTAATTCTGTTAATTCCCGAGTATCATTCTTTTCAATGACACGTATCTCTTCATCCATCGCCTTAAGCCAATGAGTTTCCGTAGCAGCCTCCTCAAAAGTTAAAGGATCACAATCTGCAAAGAGAGCAAATTGAATAATCTCTTCATCAGACAGGTCATTATCATGACCCAAAACATAATCTTGCAAGCGAGCTGGTAAGTGGCGCTCGCGCTGAGATCGTCGAACTGACGACTCTGGCTGTGAAGGAGACTGGACATTATCTGGAATCGGTTGCTCTTCAACAATATTTTCAACAGCAGGAATAACAATTGAACTTTCATCTTTAGCTAACCAATCCCAAGCACCATATTCATCAAAAGTGACATCACGACTTATAACAACCTTTTTAGTTTCAGGATTGTATAGTTTATAAGCCTTTGAAGCGTCACTATAACCAATGAATATGCACTTTTCACCTTTATCATCCAACTTCTTTCTCAATGGATCTGGCACATGTGCATATGCCAAACATCCAAAAACCTTGAGATATTTGATAGAGGGTTTTCTCCCACTCCATGTTTCTTCGGGTGTCTTATCACGGACACTTTTAGTTGGACACCTATTCAACACATAGACAGCACAAGCAACAGCTTCTGCCCAAAAAGGCTTAGGCAGATTCTTGGATTTCAACATGCACCTTACCATATCCATGATAGACCTATTCTTCCTCTCAGCCACTCCGTTTTGTTGTGGAGTGTATCTAGCTGTCATTTGGTGCTGAATACCCTTTTCTTTCAGAAAATCATCACAGGCAATATATTCTGTACCTCTATCAGTTCTCAAGATTTTAATTTCATAACCACTCTGCTTTTCAACAAAAGCCTTAAATTGTTTGAAAACATCACATGCTTCAGACTTTTGCTTCAGAAAGTAAACTCATGTTTTCCTACTGAAATCATCAATGAAAGTAATAAAGTACTTACAACCTCCATGTGAGGGAACCTCCAACGAACACAGGTCTGAGTGAACAATCTCCAACTGTTTTGTAGCTCTCCTTGACTTGCCCACGGGAAAGGGATCTCTATGCTTCTTCCCAATCACACAAATCTCACAGATACGATCAGGGACATTCACAACAGGTAAATCAGAAACAAGTTCCTTTCTCGCAAGATAGTTTAATCCAGAGAAATGGAAATGCCCAAACCGCATATGCCATAACCAATTATCATCACAAACTTCAGAATTAAAGCAATCAAGGAGAGTATGCTTAATTTTCAAAGGAAATAGTCGATTTTGGGACATATTTACCTTTGCAATCAAAACTCCTTTAGCATCTTCAATGGTGCAACACCCTTGAGCAATATGTATCTTATATCCTTTTTCTGACAACTGACCCAAACTCAACAAATTTTGGTGTAGTTCAGGAACATAGAACACATCGGATATAAAATTGTGAGTACCATCCTTCAACTGAATAGAGATTTTACCTTTTCCCAAAATTGGCACCTTTGACTTATTGCCAAACGTTACTTCAGACCGGACTGATTCATCTAGTTCGGAAAACAATTCTTTCTTCCCACACATATGGTTACTACACCCAGTATCCAAGAACTATATGTTCTTATCAGTAGAAAAACTATCACTGGCCAAAAGTAAGGTTTCAGAATTCTCACCAGACTTTTCAGCAGTATTTTCAGCAATGTTTGCTTGATTTCCACGATTGTTGTCCTCATTATACCAACAATCTGCAATCTTGTGTCCATACTTGCCACAATTGTAGCAATGAAATGGAAATTTACCTTGTTTGGTATTACCTCCACCTCTTCCTTGGTTGGAGTTACCACGTCCTCTTCCTTGGTTGAAGTTACCACGACCTCTTCCACCAGAACCTCCTCTTCCTTTTCCACAACCTCTACCAGATCCTCCACCTCTTTGATTAGTGCCAGTCACATTAAGGGTGACTTGACTCTTCAAAGCTTCTTCTGCTAGTGGTTCCGATTTTGACGCAATCCTGTCAATATGACTTTCTACCATGCCTTTCAGCTCTGCAATTGATAAGAGCTCGGTTTTGTGTGACTCTGTTATTGAAGCCACCACATGGTCATACTTCATCGGCATAGTTCGAAGAACTTTTTCAACCACTGCACCATCTTCAATCGTATCTCCATATAGCCTCATCTTATTCACCATATCAATAAGACGAGTGAAATACGCATCTACTGTTTCTGTAGAGGTCATCTCACAATTATCGTACAACCTTCTCAACGACTGCAACTTAGACTTTTGTGCCCGATCGACTCCTTTGTGTGACACCTTTAAGATGTCCCAAGCTTGTTTTGCTGTTTGAGCACGAGCTAATTGCCCAAAAATGGAATAATGAACACCTTGGTGAATCTGACCCAAGGCCAATTTATCTCGCCGTATAGCGGCTGCATCAGCTCCTTCGGGTAGACCGGGATCAACAAAGCTCCAAAGATTTTGAGTTTGCAAATGTGTGGACATCATAATTTGCCAATAATTGTAATCGAGTTTCCCGTCCAATTTGGGACCCGTCCATACAATATTAAAATTTGTAGCCATATTTCACTACGGGAAATATCTCGGGGTTGAAAGGTTGACTGGCTCTGATACCAAATGTTAGATATATTAAATATAATATATATTAAATATAATATAATATATCTATAATATATATTAAATATAATATATCTATATATTATATTTATATATTGAAAAGAGAGAGAGAGAGGAAATAACTCTTTTAATTGATGATTAATGAATGAACAATAATAACCTATTTATACTAAAAGATAATCACTAATAAAGCTAAAGATTAGGAGTAATGCTCCATGTAAAGCTACAATTAAGGCCACAATCTATGTAGTGATACCATGCATAACCCACCTACTGCATCCATGCATTATTCATAACAAACTAATTTAATACTTGGTTTAACCATTACTAATAATAATAATAATATTATTATTATTATTATTATAACAATTCATAACCTACCATAATTAATATTTATAAAGTGATAAAATAATGACTAAAAATCATAACTAATTCTAATATTAATAAGTTAAATGAGTTGAATATGTTAAGATATGGATTTTAATGGGTCTTTAATATGTGCCCACTAATCTGAATAAAAACTAATAAGTGTGAATGAAAATTATATCTTTTATTTATATCTCTTTTTCCATTACGTTATATATACACACACATACACACACACATTATGTTATAAGAGTTGTACTATACAATATTTTGGACAAACATATCCATACTGTTATAATTTCCGTTATCTTTTCCACTACTGTTATCATGCACATACATTTACCATATATTTTTTTATAATAATAATAATAATAATAATAATAATAATAATAATAATAATAATAATAATAATAATAATAATAATAATAATAAATAATAATAATAATAATAATAATAATAATAAAAAAAAAAAAAAAAAAAAAAAAAATAATAATAATAAAATAATAATAATAATAATAATAATAATAATAATAATAATAATAATAATAATAATAATAATAATAATAATAATAATAATAATAATAATAATAATAATAATAATAATAATAATAATAATAATAATAATAATAATAATAATAATAATAATAATAATAATAATAATAATAATAATAATAATAATAATAATAATAATAATAAAATAATAATAATAATAATAATAATAATAATAATAATAATAATAATAATAATAATAATAATAATAATAATAATAATAATAATAATAAAATAATAATAATAATAATAATAATAATAATAATAATAATAATAATAATAATAATAATAATAATAATAATAATAATAATAATAAAATAATAATAATAATAATAATAATAATAAT